CAGGGAAAAAGACAATGCTACCACGTAAGCCTATTGAAAAAAAAGAGGTTCACATTGAATATCACATGAAGGAGGCACCATTTCTGCTTTGACGCGCCTAGTTGATGAACGAGGAAGGCACTCGAAGGTAGTTTTTGGAAAGGAATGGGGTCCGGTTTGAAGAAGACTGTTCTCTTGGTAAGATTCAAACTTCTCGAAAAGTGAGGAACTGGACGAAAAAGACATGAAAGCAATGAGAGATTCGTCGATATTGGGATTTTGAATAGTAGAAAAAAAGAAACAGTTTAGAAAGCAACGTGTTCAGCACTGAAGAGATTTAGCACGCACTGAATTGATTTAGCGCTAGGGATAACAGCTTAAATAGAACAGAGCCGCCGTTGGATGTAAAGCTCAGACGGAAAGAAGTTAAGAAGACGGACTGGTCTCCGACTCCGGTCGATCGCTCACATTGAGAGTTACGATGATGAGATGTATTGGCGCAAAATAGGCACATGATTCCATAAGAGCAGGGACGCAAATCGCAATAAACAGCCCAGTGCATAAAAACCTAGGACTACGGAGAAACCGCCTTCAAAAAGATGAGGAGAGAGTAAGTTCTTCACCGTCAATTTGATTTAAGAAACCTCTTTGAGCGTGCTCGCTTGAACAAAGCTTTCTGACTAGTGCAAGAGCAGCCTTCCTGCATTCTAATATCTGTGAATGTCCAAGAGAGAGTTCCACTACGAGGTAGCCTTCAAAGAAGACAAATGGAACGCAAGAAAAAGAACAGGAAGGCGTGGCACTGGGAAACAAAGAAATAAAGAGAGAAGGTACACGTGAAGGATTGGAGAAACTGCGACCGTAAGACCGATTTAACGACCCACCTGTAATGTAGTACGGAGCAACTCGAAGCACTGCAAGTAAGCCATGATCCCACTATCCATGTTGTTGTTTCCAAACGGCTTCCAACTACCAGATGCGAATAACGGATATCTCACTTCTTCACCAGTGGAACTAAATTCCCTCATTATGCACTCCGATCAACTTATACCTAATACACACCGCTCTTACCGTTTATACTGTATACATGAGTGGCTGCACATAGTTATGAGCTTGAAATTATCTCTCTTAACACCCGCACGCTGCATGAGCACCTGGCTGACAAACGCCTACTACGCACATCTAACAGCAGAACTAGCTGTCCCCATGCGGCATTTATCTCCGGCCAATCGACGAGTCGATCTGGCAGTCGTCCAAGCCGAAAACCGTTTATCTCTCCTGTAATTCTCATGAAAGAAGATAAAGAACGGGATCACTCGTTGAATGACTAGAACATGGTCGGCAAGCGACTGACTCGCTCTCCTTATCCACTAAGCCAGCGCAGTTTGTAAAATAGTGCCGTCCAAGGAAGTAAAAATGCTAAAATATCCACTAAGCCAGCGCAGTTTGTAAAATAGTGCCGTCCAAGGAAGTAAAAATGCTAAAATTCCACAGCAAAATGCAATCAGGATCATCAAGACTAAGACGCTACTCGAATAAAAAGGATATGAACCTCCAGTAGCTGTCAATTTTTGCTACGCTCTGACTTATACACGGTGGTAAAGAGCTCTACTAAGCCTATCGAAATAGATATATCATATTAACATCAGCAATATAGCAGCTGCACCTGCTAAAAAAGCACAGTTCCTCGAAGAAGGCAGGTTTACTCTGACATGAACAGTGGGAGAAAATGGTGTCGAAAATGAAAGCACGAAAAGAATACAGGAGAGGTAGAGCTACTCCAACTTGCCCTGAATCACCCATCGAAACGCGCGGCGTTAAAGTAGAACAAGAAACCGAAAACCGTGTAATGAAGTCATAGTGGAGCTGGGAGAACAAGCACCACTTTGATTCCCCCTTCAAATGAGAACTAACACACTTAGGCCTCTAACTTGCCGGAACTGGGAAGAAGGAAAAAGCAAGAAAATTATAAAACCTGCCATGGGATAGATATGAAAATACAATCAAATACAAACACAAGCCGAGATTTTGACATTAATTTCTTCATAGATATTTATTGGGAGCGGCTAACATTTTCTTTCAAATGGAAGTAGAATTAATGGAAATTCGTTCGGCAATATGGGTGTAATCCTTAGCAGCAAGGCGAAGAAATGAAAAGCAATAACCAAAATAAAAACTATGGAAAGCTCAATCAAGAGTTGAGATCAAGGCTCCTCGTGAACGCACACTTAAAGCCAAACAGAAATATTCCTTAGAAGAAAAAGCTGCAAGAGTTAAACTCTCACCGATAATTCCATCAGCAGGATCAACCCAAATATTGAAAACGAGATCCAGGGCATTAGTATTGGCGAGACGCCGGTGCTGTTCTGCAGCATACCGAAGTTCGGCGTCAGCGTGACGCGTTTTCTCGTCTAGATCAAGGAGACGTCTAAAATCAGTAAAACTCATTACCTGAACGTTTCAGAGACTACTGAAAAAATGCCGACTGCCGCTGAGTGTTTACCTGTGATTATCTCTGAATTGACGCCATCGACTTGCCTCTTCTTCCGTCTTCTCTTCGAGCGCTGCTTTCTTTTCCATCAGCTCAGCATCCAAACGAGCCTCCTCTGTACACAACTGATCGAACTGGGCCTTTAGTGCACTCTCTTCAGCCTGCAAAACACCAAATAAGACCACCAAATCAGAGCAGCCGTATACAAATGGTAAACACACATAAACAGATGCAAAGATGAATGAAGCTGCTCTCATTTTGCTACGTCTGAACCGATCGCATGACCGGTTACTTTCAAGACCAATTCCAAGATTCAAACGATTTAACTGCCAAATTCATTCAATCAATCTAGTTTCCCATGGCTCTGGCCTGAGCGGTATCCATAGTATTTCTCCTGAATGCAGTTCAACCGATATAACCTTGAGGTCGTTTAGGGGGAGGGGGGGGGCAATCGCAAAGTTTTCCGCAGAAGTTTGCTCAAGAGCACACCAAACCTACATCTTGCCAGAATAATCAGGTGAGAAGAAATCCCAAAGTTTTCCGCACCATCAAAAAAGCAAAATAAGTGACCACCCCATTCACGAGGGTAGAGTGGCTTGCATAGGTGGCACAATCACTTCACCCCTTCAGAAAAAAAGAGGGAACACGCAACAATGAAGCAATATTAGCAGTGGATTAGATAAAGGAATGCAAATGAAGAAAGATGCATTGCAAAGAAAGAAAAATAGAAACAACAAGGGAAGTAGGCAAACCTTGAGATTCCGTAGTGTTTGTTTATACGACGCGATATCTGCATTTGAGTGCTTTTCCTTCAAGTAATCAATAAGCTGACGATAAGCCGCGCAGTCGTCCTCAAGAAGTTTTAGCTGTTGATCCATGTCAACTAGAAGTTGATCAGAACATTCCTGAAAACTCAAAACCATAGAACTGTCCAAACGTCTTGAGGCTAAAATAGGGAAAAAGCATTTCTTTCATGAGAGGAGTTTTCAGTTGGCTGTTCCTTGATACTAGTACAGCATATTACACGTGCAAATTTCATAACAAAATCGGCTTCCTTCGTCGCCCATAGAATTCAAAAATGAAGAGTAGAATGCTAAATCAGTTTAAACACAAATGATGCTTGCTAGCGATGATGCTTTAGAAGCGCGCACCAATTCGCCAACTAAGTATTTGATCGTAAAGAAGAATGTGTGCGCCATCAAGAGGTTAAAAGGTAGGTGAATAAGAGTGGGTAGTAGCGAGCTTATAACAGCGCCGAGTCATGTCCCGGATCGACGCTCGCCCAGGCCAACCTGCATCCTATTCCCTCCGGGGCTTTGTCGTTAACTGTACAGACTGCTTGTTGGAGGGGATGAATCACTGATTTGGAACAGCGAATCCCGCGAGTCAACGTGTAGGCTACCTTGCATTTGAAAGTCAATATTATTCCGACTGGAAGTAGTGTGGCGGCCTAAAAGTTTGGCCAACAGCTACAGCTTTTTTATGCTCGAATTTATCAGTCAATCGAGCGAGTCCCGGTATGGTCCCATAGGACGTTCAGCTCACACGGTTTACTTGTAACGGCGAACTTGGAAGAAAGAAACTCTGCTCATATTACTAGAAATCCCCACCTAAGAGGGGAGCGATTCAGAGAAAAGGGGGCATGTTACGAGGTTCAATATTTATTTTATTTGGGAAACAAAACTAGTTGCAGCATGCTACCAAATTTGAATCCGCGGGTCGGTTTCGCACTTTTCGATCGCGCTGTACTAACGCAAAGTTCCATTACGACTAGAAAAGAAAACGAATCAGCGGAAATACCAAAAAAGACCACAACCTCACAAAATTGATGCTAATCGCTGATGCCAAAGCAGTGAAGGATGGGATTGTTTATGCAATAATAAGAAGAAAAACCAAACAAGTTTTGACTGAACAAGTTAAATGGCTGGAACAATCGATGACTCACATCAGACGAACAACACGACAAAGCTTCTGAAACTGAAGAAAAAACTAACCTTGCATATTGGAGCGTCGGAAGGAACTTCAGCATCGCAAATCAAATTCATGAGGCTACACGATTGTCCAGCAGTAAAACCCGTACCGTCCGTCTCTAAAGGCTGTAACGGTCATTTCAATGTAGATGAAACACAGTAACGAAATCGTAAGGTTTATTAACCCTCCATAAGCCATTATTTGGCATTTTTACAAAAGTTTGAAAACGACTTCAAAGTAACAGATCTGACAAAAACATGTTGAGAAAAAAACTGTAATTAAGGTCAATTTTTTGTGGTCAACAAAGGCAAAACACGTTTCTCTACTTCCCTAAAAAGTAGATTTACTATGCCCTTCTTTTAGGTTCACGCAAGGGTGACCATTGATAATGAAAACTGAGATTAATTAATTCTTTTAAGGGACTTTGAAAGGCGCATTTCACAAATCCTCACGTAGTGGCACACTTCTGTTCTATACGCTTATGGTTAGTCACTCCAGGATGGTGAAAGTGGTCAAAAACCACCCGTTGGCGAAGCCTCTGCGAGTTTTGAGTAGTTAAGGGAGGAAAAAACCTAATGCAAACGAAATGACTGTTGCTTGCGCCCCTTCCATCAGACAGACCTTATTACTCAATCATCCGGCCCTATAAAATAAATACAAAATTAAATTAAGAACTGACCAAAGAAGGGATTGTGAAGTGACATTGTTTTTAATTCCAAAACCAAATGTGGAGAATTCCGAGATTTCCAGCTTTCTCACCAGAGAAATGGATGCAGGAAAACGTTCTTACCTTTGTATATAATATGGGCCCGACAAAAGAGGAAAAGATGAGATCATCGAGATAAATTACGTATAAAAGCAAAATTCAATGCGAAAATGTATGTGGACAAATCACGACTTCAAAAATCACCTTTTTATCTTTGTTGACCTTTACTTCAACATTCATCTTCTT